TAGCGACCCTGTATAGGGTTTCCAAGGAGCGGCTGGTAAGCTTGAACTGCTGACCTTGCAGTTCAAAAGACTGCAGTCCAGTGTATTAACCCACAGTGCCACAGTCTTAGAGCCTTGCTTTTTGCTAATGCCTTGGACCAAGTTCAGTAAAGTTGGGAAAGAAGTAGGAATGGAAAGAGGAAACATAATGAGGAAGTGGGAAAAGTGATATTATAATTTATGAGAGGTTGCAGTCTTTTAGATGAAGTGAATTGAGTGATTTGTTGAATATAAAGCTGATGATCTACTCTATAAACCTTCACTCAATTCATAATAAATTTTTTAAAAAAAAGAAGAATCAAAAACAATTAAAAAAAAAGAATCAAAGGATATATTGCATTGGGCAAATCTGCTCCAGATCTCTCGCAAGTGTTAAAGAGCAAAGATGTTATTTTGAGGATCTAAGCCATAGTGTCTTCATTCACCTCATATGATGTGAAAGCTGGACAACGAATAAGGAAGACAGAATGAGAGCTGATGCATTTGAATTATGGTGTTGGCAAAGAATATTGAAAATACCAAAAATGCCGAAAGAACAAATAAATATCTGTCATGGATGAAGTACAGCCAGAATGGTCTATAGAAACTAGGATGGAACTGCTTCATCTCATGTACTTTTGACATGTTGTCTGGAGAAGGGCATCATGCTGGGTAAAATAGAATGTCCTTGGAAAAGAGGAAGATCTACCAATGAGATGGATTGACGCAGTGGCTGCAATAGTGAGCTCATTATAACAATTGTGAGGGTGGTACAAGACCAAGTAGTGATTCCTTGTGTTGTGCATAGGGTTGCTATGAGTCAGAGTCTACTCAAACCTTCCTAACAACAGCATGATTTTGTAGCAGTACTTTAAAAAATTTTAATTTAACTGTAATCAGTTATTCAGTAATTTGTTTATTGAATACACATTATGTACCTAGATTGGACCCCTCCTGTCACAGAGTGCTCAGCTGCTAACCAAATGTTTAACGGTTCAAATCCATTAGCAGTTCTATAGGAGAAAGATGTGACAGTCAGTTTCCTTAAAGATTTATAGCCTTGGCAACTCTGTGAGAGCAATTCTATCCTATAGATTCACTGTGAGACAAAAATCAACTCAACAGCAATGAATTTTTTACTACGTACCTGGTACTGAGTTCAGTCTTACAGGGATGTGTAAAGGAATGCTGCTGTTGTTTTTAAGTGCTATTGAGTCAGTTTCGACTCATAGTGATTCTATGCACAACAGAATGAAGCACTATGGTAGAACTTTTTGACTTACCCTCATATTATGAGACTTCAGAAGGTTTATGGAAAAGTGGAATGGAAAGATTATAGAATTATTCCTTGAACTTTTGGAATCCATTGAAAATCCAGAGAGCATTCTGTCAGGATGTAAAGATGGGATTGAGTCTCCAGACTGGGAAACTGGTAGAGTCTGATGCAGTAGGTGGGTGTGGGACTATAACCAGTCTTTGTGCAGATTCAGAGAGCCTTGGCTCCACTGTCTGGCTACCCTCCTCATGGAAACTCATCTTTCCTTCACTGCTTCTTGGTGCTACACAGGTATATGCCCATGCTGGTGCAGCGCTAGAGGGGAAGATGTACGTCACCTGTGGCCGAAGAGGAGAGGACTACCTGAGGGAGACTCACTGCTATGACCCGGGCAGCAATGCCTGGCACAACCTGGCAGATGGGCCAGTGCGGCGGGCCTGGCATGGCATGGCTACCCTCCTCAACAAGCTGTATGTCATCGGGGGCAGCAACAATGATGCAGGCTACAGAAGGGATGTGCACCAGGTAAGCCATCATGGCCTTGGGGCTGGCAGACAAGGGAAAAGGGAAGTGATATCTCTCTCCCATAGCCTTTGTTATCTTCTGGGCTGGAAATGGATATTTCTAGCACAGCCTTCCGCCAAACATAGGCCTAATCTCATTGCTTTGGAGGTCTCCCACCCCTTCTAGTTGTTACGATGAAAAAGTAAACTACTGCTTGTTTAGCACTGTAAGCTTTTATGTTTTGTTTTTCTCAAGTTAGAAATTATAGTTATGAAGTTCATTATAACTGTACCGCTGAACCTTGAAAACTGTAGAAGACAGAGGAAAACCTAAGAACCCTGCCATCATGACCTTGCAGGCTTCTCATACTGATGGGTCCTTCCTCAGACTGTCAGCTACTCCAAATCAGTGACAAGTAGTAGTTTCTTTATAGAGCTTTTCAGGTATTTGGGGTTCCTGCCTTAATTTCAATGAACAGTATGGTCCCCAGACCAGCTGTATCCATTTCACATAGGAACATACTAGATATGCAGATTCTCAGATCCTGACCCAGACCTGTTGAATTGGCAGCTCATGGGATAGAGCCACAGATTTGGGTTTTACAATGCCCCCACCCACCCAAGGGTGAGAACCACCTGGCCAGTGGGTGAGTTTGCTGCTACTGTAACAAGCCCCCAGCCCTATGGCTCATATGCCTGGTGTGGGTCTAGGATCCTTCTGGAGGTTCTCTAGGGTCTTCTTTTTTTTCTTAAATGTTTTATTGTGAATTATGTGATAGTTTACCTGGGAGAATATTAATTTTACATTCATTCTATCGCATATCATCTCATTGCCATGGTTACAATCCCCTCCATACCTCCCAGATCTTCAGCACACAGTCGCTCTCCCTCTCTGGATCTAAAGTCTCCAGCTGCTCCATCGCTCCACGTCATCATCTCTGCCTCCATTTCAGGCATCAGTGCTTCTCTGGGTAGGGTCC